GTGGTAAATAACTTAATAAAAATACCTTATGACGTTTTTAAACGCTATGCTCAGTGAAAAATACTTCATTAAAGTGACGTTGAATCGACGTAAAATTGATAATTATGATAACGATTTGACATTGATGTCTAATTGACAGTCATTTTTCGCTGGGTAATTCGCTGATTTTATTAATATGACTATTTATTTAGTAATAAAATACTTATCAATGGGATATTCAAAACGAAATGGATGTAAAAATCAGGCTTTAGGAAAAAAAAGATTGAAATATGTGGAAGAAACTTTTAGCTTTGGAAAAGAAAAAAAAGGTGGAAATATGTGGGGAAAACTTTTAAAAAATATATTGGATGCGAGCACATACATCTACATATGCAAATTAAAAAGCATGGCTTATGACTGCAAAAAACCACAAAAATATTGCAATATTTCTATGCTAAAACGCAGTGCAAGCTTATCAATGGACATTGCATATATATGAACATCTCGTTTTCACCTTTTGCTAATAAAGTTGAATGCCACAAATTTCCAATAGAATCTTGCAACGGTCACTTCTTTCACTTCCGGGTTTTGAGACATTCGTAAAGCAGCGATCACATAATAAGGATGATTCTCGTTCAATTTTTCAAAATGCGCCATTTTCCTTTTTTTAGTCCTTTAGCAAAAATACAACACGTCTTCTAATGAAAATTTAGGCAAGAAAAATCACGTTACATTATTAAACAAGATTAATTCTTATTTCTTGCATTTAAACTTTATTTAAAATTTGTCTTTGATAATTTTAAACATATTACTTCGAACTAAAATATACTAAAAGTAAGTAAAGTAAAAATAATTGGATATTACTTTATAAATTATAAAATATCTTTTATATTAAATATTATTATCGCTCCTTTATAACAACAAAATATAAAAAAAATATGTAAGTTATTTGAATAAACTGTTTCAATATTGTTGTCAAAAACGTGATAAAAAATATAGTTGCTTAATATTATTGACTTTTCTATTTAAATTAAAAATAAGTTTATTACGATAAATATAATTTTATAAAATTAAAACTGAGTTATGAAATTAATAAACAAATCTTTTACAAAAAATTTAAATATATTCTTTACACATTTGCACTAATCAACTGCACAAACTTCTGTTGCAAAATATAACACTGCTTTTGATGGACACAAGGCAATGTACTAACAAATATCATTTTCAAAGAATTTTTTTTAAACAATACAATACAAACAAGATAATTGACAATCGAATTGACATTTGTGCTCACATTTCAATAGACTGGATTATTTTCTCAAATCTAAATTATCTTCTAGAAGCTATATGTTCACATTCCGCGGCTTCGTTTACACTGACTATCATAACACTATGGCTTGGTCATATAAACTAGAAACTTAATTATACAATATTTTCCTGGTACGGATAAGGATTCCCACATGAGTTACTTGAAATTCCCGTGTTTGCTAATTACAGCCTACAAATTCTATGAAATTAAATCAGCTCATTTAGATTTACATGAACATTTTTGACAAATATGCATTGATCTATCCGAATATGATTGATCCGTCTATGTACTGGATAAAAATTTGAATGAGTAACAGGTAGCAAGTAGGTGATTGTAAGTAGGAGGAACCAGGACATGAGTGGGATTTGATTGCATAAATAATTAGTAAAGACGAAGTTGAAATATGTAATTTGCAATGGTTCGAACGGGCTTATAATTATAATTATTATCTATCGTGATAATAATGATAATAATGATAATATTTATACATAACTGATAAAAGATAATTGTGATTCAAGGAATTTACAATTATTAATATATTATGAAGGTATTATGCAATATTTACTGCTGTCTATATAAATTATCGATTTTTAATAGTATTTTTTAAACATTATTTTAGGAATTTACAAATGCATTATGTAATTAAATTTTAACACTTATAATTACAAATGCATTATATAATTAAATTTAATCATCAGATTTATGTGTAACATATCTAATTGTTAACATCAGGTTATGTGTAACATCAGATAAGATAACTTCAAAGATAAGCTCAAATTTATAACGTATATAAACGTATATAAACGTATATAAATAACTATTAAGCTCGGCACGTTAATTTTTTTGTTTGCAACTCATTCCAATTAATTTCAAGAAACAGTTTACGCACTTGCGTAAAAAAACAAAAGACAAAACAATTAATTAAATAATTTTGATCAAATGTGTGTCCTTTTTATCGGAAAAAAAACATAAAACGTAATTAAAAACAAATTTAATTTCTTTTCAATTAACAATATGTAGACTAGATTAAGAATATTAGAATGTCATATAAATTTTGTGACCTGTAAACAATTTACGAAGACGAAACGAGAAATACATTCTCAAATTACGAAGCAAGAAGAACAAGAAATAGATGTTTGTTAACTTGCGTCACTGCTGCATTCCTTTTTTTTTTAAAGCAAAGCATTGCATCCTTCTGAGCCTCTTTTATTCTTAACTCGAGAACGAAATGATTCATGGTATCGCATGCCACTTGAGTATTCTGCGGTCGACCAATGTTTGAAAAATGTAAACTTATTTGATCTTGTTTTAAATTTTTATCATCTATTTTTAATTTCTTATGGCATGATAATTTAAAAGGCTAGATGATTCAGCAGAATTCTAATCAATAGTGTTTCTAATCAAAAATCGATTTTAATCTAAACTAATCTTATACGGATCACAAATTGTTTTACACTTGGTGCAAATTTATTTATGTAAAATTGACGGAATGATCTATTACACAAATATATTTTATTTTTAGAAATTTATTTAAAAATTATACGTTATATCTGTTTTGTATTATTCAATATAAATGTGTTTGGATTACTTCATTTAGCTATGTTGATTGACTTAAAATATTTTGCATTTCAAGTTTATACATGTAATAAGGATAAAGCTATTGTGATATAAGCTATAGGCAGCCCTCAATAAGCTGAATGACCTCGAAATAATATTGTCAGGCGAACGTTCGTATTTTCAATCTCAAATTTATTATAATACAATATCTATATTACCTGTGACGTAAATATATGATGTATATGTTATTTTACCAAGAGATAAAATAATAAAAATTTAGATTAAACGATTTAAAATAATTTGTCAAATTTTGTTAAAATTTGATTTGTATTTATTTAAAAAGTGTTTTGATATTTCATAAACATATGACATTTTAAATTTTATAGCAATTAAAAATGTTACGAGTTTATAAATTCCCAACAGTACGATGTTACATAATAGTATTTACAATTAACGTGTACAAAATACATTTATTGGAAAAAAAAGTCATTACTTCAATTCGAAGCACTCGTCAATCATTTTACTACACTCGTCAAACTTCAGCAATTATTTGATATATGTATTGATGATATCATAACTTTGAAGGTTTCAATTATAAGATGCTATCTGAAAAAATAATCTAAGTTTCAACAATTCGCAGGCCATTTACCTAAAGCGATGATCTAAGATACTTTTCCACTTTTTTCTCATCAATTTGTCCATTGAGGAAACCCAGGGAATTCCCTCGATCACTTGTGACGTGCGTGCTATTTCACGCTGCATGTCATGAAATTGTGAGAGACCGTGGGAAATACAATAAAAATAGAAACAGACGCGACAATGCTTCCTAAGAGATTGGACTATTATAGAATATAATATACATTTATGATTTTTTTATCTTGTAATTAATTTTATTCTTACAAAATTTTATTTTTATTATGACAGCATTTTATAGTAATTAAGTTATGCTTTACAATAAATATGTGCATTAAGTATGTATCATCTTTACATACATACTATTTTGCTTAAATTACAATTACAATTAATAAAATATAAATTAAGCAAATATGTAAATTATACGTATATGTACATATAATAAATATGCAATAAATGTGTATATATAATAAGTATATGACATAATTATATAAGTAAGCAATACAATTAGTAAATTTAGAAGCGCTTAAAAATATATTTTAGCTACCGGATACAAATTGCAATCCGTGCATTAATAAGTTATTTTTATTAATATAATCAAATTCAAATTCTTTCACAGATGGTCGATTTCATGTTCCTCACGTAATGCCAGTAATTAAGTATCTTTTATAAAGACGTCACAGAAGGTAACTATGAATCATATAACGTTGTACCGACCTTGGACACCAGATCTCGTGAAACAGCCGCATGTATATATAGATACACCTATACGTTTTGCCTAGAGGTATAGAACTCTGTATCAGACTTGTTAGTCGCCGCGTAGTCCCTGCTCCGAACTCTCAATGTTAGTCTCATTCTATTAATAGATCCTACATACACGTCTAGTTACAGACAATTTAATTTGAGATTTCATCAATATATTAAGAGCACATCTCGTTTATCGTAGAACATTATCATTAATCATGAAGATTATGAATATGCAGAGCTCATCGTTATCGACGCTCCAGTTTCATGCCAAAAATAAGTTATACTTTATAACTTCACGTTGCTTTTCTTGATGTTATAATTTAATATTATTTTCAAATATTTAAGTAATTTAAGGATAGATAAAATTTTTATATTGTTAATTTATAATAATCTGTTAATTATTATAATACGTTAAAAACGAATTGTATCAATAATTTTTTAAATATATTTTTCTTTTATTTTTCCTTCTAATATAAGAAATATTAATCTTATTTGAGAAGATTATATTTCTTATATTAGAAGCTTTTTTTTATTATTCATAAATGTGAGAGTACAAAGTATTATTACAAAATAATATATTGAAATAATATATTTTATGTATAAATATTTTATTTTTATGTATTATATATGCGTTATTTCAAGTCATTGTTATAAATATAGATTTAATTTTTGTGTAAGATTATTTTATTAATAAATAATTTTCAATATTTATAAAATTATTTAACAGTGTTTGTTCTATTACTATATTTAATAATTTAAGTACATTCTCATTCAATAAACAATAAAATTTTCTGTAGAAAATTTATAGTGTTTTTCGTCAAACGTGAAATACAAAATAATTAAAAATCAACATAAATAATGAAACGCACTGAAATCCCTTTACCTTATCTCATGCTCCGATTTCTCTTTCTGCTCATTTTCCTTTGCTAATTTCTCTTCTACGATCTTGTGATAAAAATTTTTCCACATAGCTTCTTCATCCATCTTCGCTCGATTTTTTTTCTCACCCAGTAAATCAGAAAGCACTTATACGCGATTTAGTATTCTCCAAGAATTTCACCGTTATTTTAAACATTCGATTCTTAAGTATAGTTGCCGAACTTGTAGAAAATTGTATACGTACATTAACTGTGCACTCACAGAAACATTCCTTGTCAAATATTGACCCCGTGTACGTAGAAAATTTAAGTATGTTTTGCAACGGAAATATGCCGGCTGGAGTTATAAGTCTGGTATAGGTGCAACTACTAAGCATTCCATTTATTCTTGAATGGAACATTCAACCATTCACTTTACTTCTTGATCGCCCGATAGATGGCACCTATTATCAAGTCAAGAAAGCATTCTCACTTTTTTTACCCATTATGTACGTTTTACAAAGTTTTTTTTTTTTGTATTTAAACAGTTTTAATTTAAAACAATATTATTTTGTCTAAGAATATTTTTCATTTATTTGGAGAAATACAAATTTTTTAAAAATAATGACACCGTATAGAGATTCTTCATATATATTGAGAGTTATATTTAAAATTAATTTATATTAATTTATATTAAATTATTAAATGGAATATATATTTATCTATAAGAGTTTTGCTGGTATTCCTATACAATTTAGTTTTTTGACTCTATTTTTTGTGTTTCAAAAAAACGACAAAGAATTAACTAACTAGTTAAACGATTGACGTTTAAAGAAATCGATCCTAGACAATTAGTAAATATTTACAAAAGATTAAAATTTATAGTATGTTTATTCTTCTCTGCTAACATTTAAATAAAAATTAAGTAATTAGAGGAAGAAATTTTCGTTCGGTTTATTTCATCTATGATTTATTTATCGTAAATGTGATGTCAGACTAATAAAATAATCGTCTGAAACGCGCAGTTGTGTAAATGACTCAACATTCGTGGAGTTTGTTTTATCATCTCGATGATATCATCTATTATGCAGGTGATCTATTTGTAGACATTTATAAGATTAATATTGAAGAATCACGGATGCAAAAATGCATTACGTTTGATATCACATAGAGTATTGTGTTACTTCTGAACCAAAATTTATCGCGGCAAGATAATTAATTTAATTAAAAATAAATTTAAATAAAAAATATTTTTTATTAATAACACTGACATAACGGTATATTCAATTAGCCAATACACTTTATTAAAAATAAAAATAATTAAAAAAAAATATAATATCACTTTTATCATTAATGATTCAATGACTATCTGAATTTTAATTCTATTTTATTTTTTGCGATTTTATTTTGTCGTAGACACTAGAAGACAGCGAACGCACTCCATTACTAATTCTAGGCCAGTACCTGCAGGAATTGATTCCTGGTAAAAGCTGCTATCCAGACTGACGTCGCGATCGTTGCGGTTCTTGAACGCAGGCGCCACACGCCATTTCGCTATACATACATACATACATACGCTACGAATCCGTTGAAGCAAAGCATCAATAATGTTTCTGCAGTATTATTACACGGAAATGAGAATGCTAGCTTTAACGTTTATCAAACATTAATTTATTTTTTCATAAAAATTATAAATATTGATTATTGTTCTGTAATGTCTCGAAAATAAACCTTGTATTATCATTATCGCATCATGTTATATATGAGGCAGCATTAACGTCCGTTTAAATGACAGCATAAATTTTCTAATTTTATAATATGCATCAATAGATAGCCAACAACGAGATAAGTTTAACTGAACGTACAAGAAATATTTTCTATTGTTCATGGTAAATTACATGACGTTCGTCTGAAAAAAATCTACATAAAAGCGAACTAGTTATCTGCAAACATAGTTAGCTCAAAGATGCGTTGCAAATTGATTATTTTGTTTCTATTCTTCGGTAGTGTATTATTTTTAATTTCATATTACAATAACAAATAAATATAATCAATATAATCAATATAATTAATATATAATCAATATAATTAATGTTCTTTTCTTTCTATAATTTTTTTCAGAGATTAATGTATTTTGTGTGATAACGGAAAGTATTTATCATAATGAAACGTTTTCCACGTTACCTGCATCTCGAAAGAATCAACCGAATATTGCATCATTTGTTTTAGTAAATCCAAAACAGATTCAACATGCGGAAGTAATAATAAAACATTTCTTAGCGAGATTAACTGGATCATTCGCTCAGCCAATAACTTTGAGATTGTCGTTTTCCGATGGAGGCAATTTGGGAAGCACAATTAGTGAAATAAGCAAGATTATACGTGCAAAAATTATGGAATTCGCGCAAATTAGCGGACTAACTGCATCAGTTCGTCAATATAAACAAACATTATGGAATTCTACAATTTCTAAAAATTGGTTTACCGAAAGTCTTGTCCAGGAATCGCTGCTATTATACGATTTGATTGGAATAGGAGAAGAGATTGGATTTGGGATCAATCATTATTTCAAAACATATAATATGACTTTGTATGAGAATAAGGTAGGCTCAAAAGAGAGATTATTTTAGAAGTTTAAGGAAATTATAATTAAGATATAAATATATAAATAGATTATAGTTTCAAAAGCAACCATTTAATTATCGATGGTATCGAGAGAAAAACATTTGGGCAATCTATTTATGAATTAGAACAATTATATAAATAACACAATCTATTAATATTTATTTCAGGATTTATCACTAGAGACGAAGAATTTCAAGTTTTTCAGTACCATAAATGACGCCACCAATTTTAGCGAAAAATTATTTAAATGTTTGTTGCCAGTAACAAACAAGAGGAATCCAACATCATCTTTTAATCTCGATCGAGCTCTTATAAATTTAGCGAAAGATTCACCCGACAACACTGTGAAATTGTTTAAGTTTCGCTTAAATCAAGCATTCATCCGTTCTACACCAAGTAACAGTACAACTAATGAACAATTGTACATGTTGCTATGTCATTCACTTGTTGAAAGGGTCAATCATTACAGCGCTTGTATCAAAGAATTACGACATTTCGTGACTTGCGTATCTTTATCAAGAGATCAAGACTTGTATGAAGCAATCGATCATCATAGATTTCTTACTAAATCATGGTTAACTGTTATTGAAACTTTAAGTGGATGTAAGATTAATATCGACAATGCGAGCATTAACTGTCAGTTTTATCGAAGATTGCCGAAATCTACAACGCAGCAAGTGAAATATATTTACGAAAAAATTTTAGACCAACGGATATCTAAACGCTCCCCTTTTTATCTTATCGTGAATAAACTCGGGAATATTCTTTCGAGAAGCGAATGGGGAAGACAATTAACGTACGATGTGTGTAAGTATTTTGCAATTTATCAGGAAGGCCACAGGAAGTTGAATATGCTTTCGAAAAATGCTGCTAAGGACAAGAGAGTGGCTATGAGGTTAATGATATTTTAATAACTCATGTATTTATTAATCTTTATTACAGTGTACGATATAACTTCTCAGAATTTTATACTATTAATATTAAAAATGCAACTAAAATAGTATTTATTTAAAAATTTATATAAATAATTGTTTTAGATATAAAAAAATGTCTGTATCACTAAATATATATAAAAATGGTATATTAAGTGAAACGATACTTGCTGTTAGAAACTTTCATCGTTTTGCATTAAAAATGCAACAATTTCTTATCAATGGTATTAGAAGTTCTTTTAAAGTATCATGGCAGAATCATTACAACATTCTCTCCTGCTTGTCTAAATGGATGATGAAACTTTTGGAATTATTTGGATGTGCAGATTTAAATGATACAGACATCGAAACGTCAACTCCTACTATTTCGTTAGATAATATAAGTGAGGAGGAATTTGACGAAAATGATCAAATGAGACAGTTCGTGAAATATTCTAAAAGAGATCGTAAGTATTATATTAATACATATGAGAAAGATAATATTTCAACATACTATAATTACTATAATTACAATTATATACATACATACTATAATAATTATTAATTTTTTTAAATTGTTTCAAAATTGTTAAAAAAATATTTTACTTTGATATCGAAGCAGTTTCAGTAAATAACATTTTTATTTTCTTCGAGTTCTATTAATTGATTCTAAATTAACTAAAAATATTTGGAACTATAATAATTTGTGCAATAGTAAAGTTAATTTTACAAATAAATTTTATATTTATTTCCGCAGAAATAAGAAAGGAGGCCGATAACATTTTTGGAACATTAATGCATTTAATGAATCATGTAAGTAAAGTGCAAAGTCAAAATTACAGGAGCACGTTAGCATGTTTGGCAAATAACTTGCTATTGGTTACTATGTTCATGGAAACAATTAGCTTTGTTTCTACATTATTTTGTTTGGGAGAGCATAAAGATGAATCTAATCTCGAAGAATTGACGGAATCCACCTGGACATAAACGTAGATCTTTGTTTTTAATAAATTTATCAGAAATCGCGGCAATAAAAACAAAATTCTTTCAATGTATATTTACAAATGTAACAAATAGTTTTTATGGCCTAAACTTTAATAAAAGCTATTTTAAGAGAGAGAAGCAATAAATAATTTTCGATTTATCAATGTTAAAATAATTTAATTAAATTTAATATATGCGTATATAATTAATTAATTTTTTTGCTGTAAGAAAAAATTTCTCAGAAATTGATATCTATGGTAAAGATTAAATTTTATTCAAAATATATTTAAAATGTAATAAATGATTCTTATGATTTAAATTTTAATGAAAGCTACTTTAAGAAAGAGAAGCAATGAATAATTTGCGATTTATTAACGTTAAAATATATAATGTAATATATGCATATATAACGTGATATGTATGTTTTGTACAGGAATAAATCCACCTTTCTCTAAACACTTTCTCTGATTATAAATCGCTTTTCGATTAATCATTCTTTTCTGGGAGCTATTTATGAGATCATTTTGCATAATTTTACAAAAGAGAGAGAGAGGAGTTCGGTCATTGTACATATGTGTTGACGAATCGATTTCAAAATTGCATTGAGCATGTATCTGATATCACTATGAGCATCTCGTGATCTTGCGTGCATATTTTGTTTATTTCTAGTCAGACATTATTCGATTGTTAACTCCGTTTCTTCGAAAATTACAAATTTTTGTAATTTTGAACAAATTTTTATGTAAATAATGCATAAATACAATAATGCATGCATATAAGTGCTGAAAATGTTCATAACAGGTGAATTCATTTCTGTGCAAAATACATATATCACGTTTATCCTTTACAGAGAAATCAATAAATTTGAAGATATATTGAAATTAATGAGTGGTAGTGTACATTGCAAATTAAACGCAATTACAATTTTCATTGTTTTTAAGATAAAAACTGTGGTATTTTAATCGGTTCTTATATCAAGACTGTCTTAAGTAATATCTTAAAATGCTAAATGTCTTAGATTGGTTTACGTTATCTTAACATTGTACTTAAGATATTCTTAAATATAAGAATTGTGTGTGACTATGAATGTCAGCCTAGGAATCTTTACAATAATTTCATTGCTAATAAATATTTGACTCGTTGCGACAAGGTATGATAAATTTCAAATTATCACTTTGCTTATGGCACTTACATAAATCATGTTCAATCTTGGTACTATTGTAATGCTGTAATTGCGATAGTATCATCGTTTGTTGCTGTTAAACGTTCACGAAATATATCTTGTCTGACATTTACAACCAAGGGGAAATAGATCGTCACACTTTACATATGCTAGATCTCATTGTATGATGACACAGTCAGCAAAAATGCGCGGAGCAGTCATTGTTCTTTATTTTGCCGGTACGAATAATTATTTATATTATACAGTACTGTTAACAATAAAACAAACAAATATTTATGCCTTTAGTTTAAATCGTATAAAAGTATGTATAAGTTATAAAACATAATACACTGTTCAAAAAACAATTAAGTTAATTTAATAAACAATTTGCTTCTGTTACATGTAATATTTAATGTTGTTAATGAAAATGAAGTTACAAGTAACTTAAATTTAATGTTTATGCATTGAACTTCATGCAAATCTACATAGAGTTTAATAAAAAATATACTAACCTTCTAACACGAACCTTCTTACACGAACGAAAAGAATTGATATTATTTTATATTGTAATAGTATTAAACTTTGTAAAATTTTATGAAAAGTACACTAAATTTCATAAATATGTATATAAATGTACTTTTCAGTTACAAATACATTAAATTTAATTTAATAAGTGTAACTTTCATAAAATTGAATTTAGTTTATGTAAAAATACATTAAAAATTTCATGACATTTTTAACATTGTAATATAATATTATAGTAATAATTAAATAGACATTATTTCCATTATTATTCCCTAATAGCATATATTGGTTAAACGTTGGCCAATATTGAGCCAATATTTGGACAATATATTGTGTTACTAGAGATAGCTAATACAAGCTATCTCTAATACACAATGTTTCCTATATATGTATACTCTAGGATTTCTGTTAGAAGAAACATATGGAAATGCAACGTATACAGCACAACCAAAAATTATTGGAGGACAATCAATCGACATAAAATATAGACCTTTTATGGTTAAGTATTTTTTAACTATACGTCGACGTATATAGATAATTTATCCATTTGCTAATATTTTCTAAAAATAATACTTGCAGCTGTCTTTACATAATTCATATGGATTTTTGTGCGGCGCCAGTATATTATCGAGCACATGGGCTATTACTGCTCTTCATTGTTTGTAATAAGATATTAACATCATGATTCGTTATTATTAATTCTTTTAATATATTCTTGTTGAAGTATTAATATTTAATTAAACTTACGAACTGAGCATAGTAAGTTTATTTTTAATGATTTTAATGCTTTATTTTAATATTTTATTATTTTCTAGAATCTCGGTACCATCATCGCAATATTATGTACGGGCTGGATCTAATAAAATGGATAGAGGCGGATCTGTGCATAGAGTGACGAACATTCGCGTATATAATGATACATATCGTTCTTGGTTTTTAAGATTATTTTATCACGACATCGCACTTCTCGAAGTGAAACCACCATTTCATTTTTCGAAAACAATCAAGCCAGTTCATTTACCAAGATCATCCCACGAATTGCCATTTGAACTGTTAGTCTGTGGTTGGGGTTACATAAATGATAAAAAAGTAAGTTAAATTGTAAAGATTTATAAAGTGCTTTTTTAAACATTTTATACTGCTTATTTGTATATTTCCTACTTATGTATAAATTGCAAAAATATCAAATGTTTAAATTACTGATAATTGAAACAACAAAATTTGAAACTGCGAGATTTCAAACATATGTATAGAATGTTTTTACTAAATAAAAACGCTATTGATGCCTTTTATATTATATTTATATTCTCTTTTTGATACACGTCTCAAATTTTTTGTTATCTATTAATTTATTATTAGAAATTAAAAGGAATAAAAAAAGCATACAATTTAATTCAAATAATTTATAGAGAGAGAATGCTGAAACTCTAATGGGCGTTTACGTTCAGCACGTTCCATATGAAACCTGTATTAATATTACATCTTTATACGCGACACTCGTCAAAGATGACTATCATTTGTGTTACGGAACCCAAGGAAAAGATGCTTGTTTTGGAGACTCCGGAGGAGCATTGGCCAGTAGAAGGACAATTTACGGCATTGTGTCTTTTGGTCATGGTTGTGGAAAAGTAGCTGGCGTTTATGTCAAAGTTTTCTATTATCGAGAATGGATTAAATCTGTTATAAATTTATAATCGAACATGCAAGTACACGTTTTAATGATTTTATTTCTTCTGATTATTTTCTACATTTTAATTTTTTCTATTTCTTTACTCATTAACCATTAATAATTAACAATAAAAAAATTAAGATTTGATAAAAGTGATGTAACATATGATTTGTAAATTAATTAATTATTTTAGAAGTTAACATTAAAAAAATTGACATTTTATTATTTCTCGATCATATTTGCAATGAGTTTTAGCTTGTAGATAACGTTTAGTAAAATTACATGTCTTACAATTTTTTTTCTTTATATTCATGCTGATGAAAACACGAATAAAATTGAGAAGCGACTTTGTCGACACATCATGCCACTAAAAGCCTCGTGTTTTTATCCGCACAGGTTGAAAGTATTGTTTTCGAGAGAATAGGCACAAAAGGCATATCGAATCACAGAGTCATGAACCCTCCTGCGTTCAGGTTCGGTGCGTGCAGGAAATCCACTACATACACGTGCTGCGCAAGAGTGTCGCGCACGCCTGCACGCGGCACACGTAGCGCTCACTCGTGCAATGCTGAATAAAAGGTGTACGTGACTACGTAATATACGTAATGAATATTTAATTTTACGTGATAATGATATTTCTTAATGATATTGGATACTTATGCATATACTGATCATTAAAATTAACGGAATGGTGCTAAATTAAATATGAAAATGACGCTTGAAAAGATTATCTGGTAATGTAGAATATAGATTTTTGCAATGATAGAGAGGTGATCAGTTATGAATGAAAAAAAGATTTTTTGAATAATATTACATGTACAAAATATTTATAACTGTTTTATATTTAAAATCATTAAAATATTATCGGAATTTGATTTCTAAATTATTCTACAATTTAAAATCATTTGCATCTTAACAATCGCAATATTAACATGAACCATATAAAAATATAAAAATAATATTTATGAATTTATTCAAGAGATATGTCTCGCGCTAAGTAAACGCTCGGCGAGATACGGTAATTATATAAAATTAAATTATTACAAATTTATATTTATTTATTGATAATAAATAAATATATATATATATATATATATATATATACATATGATAAATGATAAAAATGATAAAAATCATGAGATAAAGCAAATAGCATACAACACATTTTTTTTCCTGCTATGTGCTGTTTATTTGGTCATGCATGCTTGTTACTTTCAAGCTACTATTTACTGGTATGACTCATCCATGTTTTCCTGTGAGAAGCGAACCTCTGCCAGGTTTTCCGTTCATGCTTCTAAGGGTCTTTAAACTCCCCTGCCACGTGCAAACTATGAGTGTCTCCGTAAAAGACCGTGAGAAGTGCATTATCGTAACGAGACATCCGTCACATTTAGATGTGAACAGACAAACTGCTTTTACATACGGATATTGCGCTATTAATTCCGATCGAGATATAGTCTAATGACAATAATAAATTTCTAGAAATGATGATGTATTGCTAATTGATAACAGAAACGAATCAGCAGTATGAATAGATTTTCATGTAGTGACATGTATTATTATATTATATGATAATATCGTATTATGTATAATAATTGTACTATGTATAATAATTGTTGAGAGTATATTATTTAAAAATAAATCTACTAAACGTTCGTGTAGCATGTATAACGTTACCTTGAATCATAATAATAATCTATAAACGACAACCCTATATCCGCAAAATATGAATATCAATGCTTGTCCGATTCAAAATGCTTATCGGTTATAATTGATGAATTTTTGTTAAATACTCTTTTTCATGTTTTTTTATATGATAAAATCGCAAGATTTTATCAATAGGATATACGCATTTCAAATTTATTGTAAAAAACAAAGTTGCATAGAAGATAATAAAATAAATATTGAAGAGATAAAAAAAATCGCAGGCGCAGAATCTTATTGATAAAATCTTGCGATTTTATCATCAAATATCATGATAATTTCTTTGAAATTACCTGTTAAAATAATTATTTGCATTATATTAAGATAACAGTGATTATATTATTTCTGTAATTGTTATCTCAATATGATAATTAAATTATTTTCTAGCAAGGCAAGAAATTTATTGTAATCATTATATTTTATTTCACCTAATACCAAATTATAATGTAATTATAAATAATTTATATAATTAATTTATATAAAAAAAAGATTATCGATAGTTTTATTGTTTAAGAAAAAAAAATTTTTTTCACTCACCCATTCGTCACACACAGCATAGGATAAACTTTATTATGACAGTTCACAATCTTGCGACGAACTTTTAGAAACCAAGCCCTACTACATTTGGGATTACAATATTTTTGTTTAATATTATTATTTTGTATACTTTCAATGATATCGTCATTGTCTACAAATTCCCAGTTTGTGTCATTTATAATAGGTTTTTCACATGCTATCAGAATATACGAGTTCTGTGAATTCATACTGGAAGAATTCGATGTTGTAGCATCAATGTGCTCCTTGTGCTTCAGACAAACATTATCCGTGACATCCGATTCAAGGTGCTTGTCGGTTATAATTGATAAATTTCTGTTGATTGAATATTCTTTTTCATAGATTGCAGACGATTTTTTTATCTCTTCAATGTGTATTTTGTTATCTTTTTTGCGATTTTGTTTCTTGCAGTAAAATTTGAATTTTACAAGATTGCTCAACATGGTTGTATTTGTGAATTATTTTGAATTTATCCTTGTAAATCTTCAAATTATGAATTTCTCACAAATTCTTATAAAATCATGAACTACACATGTTTGCACATACATATACTAACTTTATTATGTAATAGATTTTTTTATCTTAGTTTATCACATTACTTTAAAATAATTTGCAAATACGCGATATATTGCGATTTATTCACTAGAAAGTCTTGGACTAACGTTCATTTAGTACGCGACCCCTGTGAAGGAAAAAGTGGCACTGAACAGTCTCTATGGTATCAAGTATCCACGTTCAGGGATCCCAACTGATTGTGTACGCACATGCGAAGAGAAGGGGTGTACGCGTTTACTTAGGCTTTCTTTCTTTGTTAATGTAGAATAATAATAAAATATTTGTTATATTTTTGCGTTATATTTTGTATATATTTACTATATTTGCATATATTTACTATATTTGTATATTTTTACTCGATTTATTTTGCAAAATTATTTTCTACATATTAAACATTTTTATATCTACTTAAAAAAATATTTAATTATAAAATATTATTAACTATA